TAACTACATATACTACGCTGGGATGTGGCCTGATAATTTAATCTCGATGTGTAATGGGGTTTGGCACTGTGAATCGATGTACTTGCGTACTACGTTATACATCGCAACTAGCAGACTGACTATTTGGTCTTGCTTAGAATTCCTCAACTGGATAATGTTATGTCTTAGTCTTGAAACTCACACTTTAGTTTTGAACCCCGTGGTTTCCATTGTATTATTATTATTATTATTATCAAAAGGGGGTTTTGTGGAGATCTTTTCACCATACTTTTAATCCATTTATAGATGAAAGCAATAGATTGTAATTTATTTCTCAAATACTGTTTTAAATTTTGTTTATACTAAATACATTACAACAATGCTGATTTCTTTATTTCATAGTGAACATTCACATACTGATATCGTATTGTACATCATATTAGGTTTATATTAAGAATTCTAATTCAATTTGTTGTGATTTGGATTAGTTTGATGTTGATGCTTTGACTGATTTTTAATAACTCTTAGTTGACATATATTCATTCTGTTGAACAAGCTAGTGACTATCTGAACTCAGTAGTTAAGTAGATAACGTTTTTGATGCTTGAAGTGAAAAGCATTCGGTTTGAATCCCAGAGTGAACATTAACTCAAATATGACAGCTACATCCAGTTGACGAGTTCGAAAAAGGACGAAACAGAGGTCCTATATTCTAGTGCAAATAGTATACAGGAAAGATTATTCTAACTACATACCAACATCAATCAGAATATTCAGTACAGAAGTGTTTAACTTAACAGTTTCAGCCTTTAACATAAAACAATCAAAGTAAATGCAAATAGAAATCTTTCATTCTTGTTGCACAACTCATTGTATTTCTGAACTTATTATATCACGGGACGACGCATTGATACTTTTAAACGAAAAGAGCTGGGTTCACAATACAAGTGTTATGAAGATGGAAATAAATAGATAATTCAGTTATGAGTTATATTAGTAGGTTGAACCAGTTAATTTATTGATTTTGAAAACTAAATATGCACACGTATTTGATTATTGATTAACTACTAATATAGTGAACGAGAACACAAGTGGGTACAATCGAATGCATTTGAATACAAAATTACAGAACGTTTTAGTAAACTCTGAGAACTATATAGTTAATAATTCATTTGAAAAATGTCAACCAATTGTCTCAGACTTCACTGTTCCTTCATTTTCACAGCAATCATTTTCTGTTCTATTTCTCTTTTCTTCTATCTTCTTAACCTTCTGCCTCTAGGCATTTCATTTTCTATTAATGACACATATTACTTATATCTGTCGACATCAGTAGCACACACCATACTAGTTCCATTGATTCACATGTATCGACTGACTAAACGGTTAAAATAATAAGTAATTTCATGATTATTGTGGATGCTCTTTAAAATTAGTGATTGGTGAATAAATTAGTTTTCTTCTATACTCATATTTTCTTCCTTACGCCCCCATAGCTATCTCGTTTCGTTGCAATAATTAACACACAAATGTTATTTCATAGTCATAGTAAATAGTTGTACCAGTACTATTAACCAATATTTAGTTCCAGTCACAACACTGACATATTGGTCTCGTTACAAATCATTGAAAGCATAAATAGTGAGATGAAAGGACACTAAGGTGACGAGTTTTGAACAGAACGAAATATGCCTTTTTGGATTTCTTTGAAAGTCACTAACTAATTTTGGTGTTGAAAATCTGTTAGATATTTACAGAAACTAACAGTTTCGTTCAAATTATAAACAACTATTGAAAACCTGGAAGCGTTGGATGGAAATTTGATCCTACTAAAGAACTATTCAGAAACGTTTATACATGACTACAAAAGTGGGAATCTAACCCAGAATATTTATATTTATTTATTTATTCTAATGTATAAATATTGGTACAAAAAAGGGGCACCGAAAACATATGCGCCACACAAGTCACATCCCCACTGCGAAAAGGCAGTGAGTAAGACTTCCCTGACAGAAGGGGAGAGCCAACAATAACCCAGGACATTGAGTCTTGAACGTGAGTCCTTAATCTCTAGACTAATTAACTGGCATACAACAGTGTTAATGTCTAACTTCAATCAATCCACGATATTGTGCAATCATTTACCATCATCTCTTATGATTAACTGTCTCACACTTTTGTATGTCAGATCAATAGCCTAGAGGTTAAACTTTCGTATGCGAAATTAAAAATGCTTGATTCAATTGCCAGTTGTGAGATTATGAATGAGCACTGTTGAAGAGTTCTCTACTATGACGAAATGTTTATCCAATGCTCTCAGATTTTCAATGATGGTTTAATTTAGATCACCTCATGATTTTAACTCCATGTTGACAATTATTAATTTAATTACCTTAAAACAAGATGGATTCATTCTGTACATATGTATATATAGTCCAATTATCTCATCATTTTCCATCTGTTCACCTGATTTATTTACATTTATCTGTTCATTTAATTATTATTTAATGTTATTTATCAAATTATAACCTTTAGAGTTTATTTATATGATGAAAGAATTGACTTGTTTTGCATAATCTTTTTCTATTTCTCTTAATACTTCATTCATTCTTTTGGTTATCTTTTTTTCTTATTCACTCATTCATTCATTCATTCATTTACTCATTTATTCATGATATATTTTTCTATGCCAAATAATATATACTACTTATATGTAAAAGTAGGCGTGTACACCTTTTTCATAATCATAATCATAATAATAATAATATTAATAGTAATAGTAATAATAATAATAATAACATTTGATTCATTATGTAATTGAATTCTGACAAGTAAATTAGTAGATTTTATTTTCAGTTAATGTACAAATATGGTTTTGATGTCTTTTGTTTTTCTTTTTTTCTTTTCTTCCTTTTTTTCTTTTTTCTTTTTTTTTTTTAGATTTTACAGTTCATTAATTTTTGGAATTTCACACCTTTATTTAGAAATAAATTCATTTCATGCGACATAAACTTAATTATGATGTAACGTTTTATTTTTATTTTTTTATTTTTTTTTTTAGAAAATTAATGATTTATACACTTTTTTTTCTTTCTTTTTTTCTCTCTCTTTTAGTAGAGAATAGAAGAGAAGTGAAATGATTGTTGTTTATTTAAATGTTGATTTCTCTTTTAATTTAAGACTATTTAAGACGATAAATAAAGTTTTAATTGTGTTAGGTAATTAAAGATAGTAAGAAAGATGTTTTGATCAACCTATATTTTATCTTATTTCATATTAGTTAATAAAGGATAACTAAATTCTTGGAAGGATTGATGTTTCCTATAGAATTTAAAATATGACCTATTCTCTAGTAATTGATCTTATGAAGAACTAAGATGTTTATATGGATTTATCACTGTATAGTAAGTAATGTTGTATTTCTTTAATTCTTTAATGTTAATTGAATTCTATTGATCAAGTCACATGGTGAACATTAGTTTAATTGATTTATATCATATTGGGTTGTTTGAAACAGTTGACTTGAAGCATGAATTTAAGTTTTATGCTAATTGACATTGATTTTGACTGTATATTGGATTAAGTCAAAGAATTTCAAATTATATTTGTATGTATGTTAACTATATAGTTGATTGGTAATGAATAAGTATCACTTTTTTATCAGAAGGGAGTTTTGTGAAGATTTTAGTAATTTAGTAGTTGAATTCATGAGTCAATTAAAGCTAAACCACCATAAAAAACCTGGAAGCACTGGATGGCCGTTTCATCCTAGTGTTGGAAACCTTAACAGTGCGCATCCTCAATCCTGCATGCTGGACTCAAATCCAGGATCTTCGGTCTTGCGCGCAAATGCTTAACCTTCACACCACTGAGCTGACCAGGACCCAACAGTGTTAATGTCTAACTTCAATCAATCCACGAGATTGTGTGATCAACATTGATCAATTCATGATATCCTAAGTATTTCTATCGTTCTTGAATTTCTTGATCGTCTCCGTCACGACTGTTGAGAAAAGAGCTGAAGATCTGAGATATAAAATTCTTCTATCAAAATACTATCAAGGTGTGAAATCTTTTAAAAAATATCTCATCTATTTGTCTGTTCATCAAGTATGTACATGACCTTCCCTAATTACAATGAACAGAAATTAATTCTGATAAAAACTTTTATTCTATAAAGTTATTCGACAAGAGGTCTGAATGTTCTGGGTTCAGTCCCTATGTGTATGGTAAATGAACACTGTTGAGGAGTGTCCTACTAGAATGAAATAGTTACTTAGTGTTTTGCAGTTTAAAATGATCATCTAACTAAACTTTGAAACTTGTACATTCCATAAGGCAGGAATGCTATTTGTTCATTCTTAGGTAAAGTCCTTAACGAGAACTATTAACGGGAAGTTCCATACAACTATCCGATACTTCCTAGTTCTACGATGTCTTTTCATATTTATTTATTTATTTAACACATAAACATTGGTACACGAAGGTACCAAATATGTGTGCGTCACATAAATCATTCGATTTGTGTGAGGGCTGAGATACTGATCGTGTGTCTAAACCGAAGCAAGTGGTTTACTTAGGGGGCCACTCCCCGAACCTTTGACCTAGAGGTCTAACCAGTCGCGTGGTAGCTGGTGACCAACAATAGGTTGATACGCCATTTATTTCCTTACAATCGTGGAGCTCATGTACACCACTAATTTGGAATCATTATCATTTAACTCCCCTAGGTGTATCCTCTATATTCGCCAACCCATTTAAGGGGCCGGACATTCGCTCTTTGTCCTTTGAATTTCTTAAATAACACCCACTGCCGAGCGAAGGCAGTAAGTAGGACTTTTATGATAACATCTGTATACGCGTAGCGATGTGAGAACATTTGAAGAGGGAGCGCTGACTCGTCCCACTCTTGGCCGTATCAAAGCAAACATAAAAACTGTTAAACTAAATAAGTGATAATACTTCATATTTTAGTTTTCTTATTATTACACATTTATGTTTGCAAAATAAGATTACAATTTGTAAAAATTATTATTTTGCATTCACTGTACAAAAGAAAGCCAAAAAATTAAGATCATTATGTTATAGTAATTATGAAAGAAAAAATTGTTGATTCTTTTTTACTACAAGTCAATGTGTATAGAGTAAATTGTTGATTAGATGTCTTTGATGTTTTTGTGATAAAATTATAATTTATGGATGATATTTGAACGACTCCAAAGTGAACTTGACAAATGTTCACCAACTGACTAGGGCTAAATAAGTGTTTTAAAGCTATGTGAAAGATAAAGATTGTGATTTACAGTTAGTGGTTAAGGTTAGAAATTAGATTTTGAGTTTTTATCACGAACTGATATCGATTATAATGCCAAGATGCTATTTAGCCAAATGAATGAGTGAATTTCACGCCAAAATCCAAGACCTGTTGTCGTAAATTTGATTGGTTCGTCCATAAATTATAGTCTTGCCCTTTTTTGTTGATATCAGTGTTGGGATTGAAATGATTAGAATACATTGGATTCGATATTAAGTTGATTGCACACACACACACATACATGCACATATGAATAATGAATGAATGAATTAGTCAGTTGACGGGTGATTTTGTTTAGGGTGTTTGTTTGTTTGTTTTTAAAAAAGAGGGGTTATTTAATGAAGATAATAATAACAGTAATAAATAAAATTTTGTGCAGTGTAGCTTTTCTTTGAACTATATATATGTTGTCGTCATTCCATTTGGTTAACGATTATCCCTTGGTTATCTAAACAGAATAAGGAAAACAAGGCAAAAATAGGATAAAAAATAACTTGAACATCATTGAAACTAAATGATGATATAAAATAGTGTGATTATAGTATACTAATAACTCGATCAGATTTAAGATAATGACTTTTAATGTTAGCGTGACATTTAGGTGGCAGTGACCGATAGGATTTAAGTATAAGGTGGTTAATCACCAATGGAATTGGGAGATGGTTGTTCAAATCTCAAAATGCGGTATAAAAATTAGGCCCTCACCGTGGAACTTGATGATTTTCAGTTTGATTGACTGTGGAGTCATGGATTGTTAACATAACTGAAAGGAAATTGGGCTAAAAATGAAACAGCTGTTTGTATTTACTTAACTAAGATCAATTCGTAATGTAAATTATGAAATACTTCTTATAATTAGCATTTTAGAGCATACAATTTGTTCAGAATCAAGTTCCTTAACAAGAAATTTTTTCATGACTTTATATAGTGAAAAAGATACAATATGAAAACGAAGTAACGCGAAATGTATTCTGTTTTTAAAGTAGGTTTTTTTCAGAGAATTGTTTTCAGAAGAACTAGTTCAGCTTTCATTTCTTTAAAAATAGACTTCTGCCGGTACGCTGAATAAGAGGTGGCTTTATGCCGTAGAAACTTAATAAAAAAATCGAGATCATAAATCGATCAACTTTCTGACCACAATTGAAAATCTGGAAGCACTGAACGGCTGTTTCGTCCTAGTTTGGGACCCCTCAGCAGTGCGCATCTACGGTCTAACATTGATTGATTCATGATCTCAAAACTCAACATTCTCTACAACCCTATACTGTTAATAAAAAGCTGTCAGAAACCGTAGGAACAATAATAAAGAAGTTTCAGCGAAAAATATTTTTTTCTTTATCCAATACTTCAAAAAAGTTAAATTAAATTGAAATAATACCCTAATATCTATCAACTAATGCACATAATATTTGATATTTCTTTTTAATAATCTTCACTAAACTATGCAACATCACTTCATTTTCATTGACGTCCACTTGAATATGTTTGACTACCTTTGATAATTATCAGTATGGGGTTGTGGAGATCATTAAGTTTTAGATTGAGATCATGTTAAACCACCATTGAAGACCTAGAAGCAGTGAACCGCCGTTTTGTTCTATCATGGGACTCCTCAGAAGTGATCATATAAGATCGTGCTCGCGGGATTCGAACCCAGGAACTTCGGTGATGCACGCTGTTGGTTGAGGTTAGACATTAACACCGTTGGATGCCGGCAGGATCAGTGGTCTAGAGGCCAAGCGTTCACGTGCAAAACAGAAGGTCCTGGGTCCAAATCCCGCGTGCGGGGTCGTGAACGCGCCCTGCTGAGGAGTCCCGCAATAGGAAGAAACTGCTGTTCAATGCTTCCAAGTTTTCAATGGTGGTCTAACATCAATCGATTCATGACCTCAATCAATATCTTTGCTAAGTTTTTGCAAATCTATTATGCTATAGACTACTACAGGTAACTACCTATAAATACGATTGTACAGCTTCATGAAATTTTCTTCGCTCAAACATCTATTAGAAATATTCCAAACTCAACAAAGGGTCAAGGTATATACCGATCTCCTATAAAATGATTGAGTGTTTTCGACAAAAAAGTAATTCTACTTTAAATAATAAACTTTGAAAAACTCATGAGCTGTGTTAAATCGACAAATACATTAGATTTTCATTACATTTTACCTATAGGTTCATGATTTTGACGGTTTATGCATTCATTAGTCAATGATTAGCTTACAACTTTTAACATCAGTTCCAGGATTATTCAATTTCTTCAGTAGAGTATAGTCTCACCAAATACAATTTTCAGATTGAAAACAAACTAACATGTAAAATATATTGCAATATCCTAAATACTAGGTTGGCTTTATTATTATCATGACCATTGTGTAACATAAATGGAGGTGGATTACAAGATTGTAGCGATGTACATATTGATTGGTTGTTATATTCATACTGAATTGAGCAATACAGATTCAAAGAGATTAACGATTGAAACAACTTCTAATACCTACTTCTGCAAACATGCATAAATTGTTTTTTAAAAGAAGAAAGTGAAAATTGCATGACTAATTAAAACTTAGTCATCAAATGGCAGCTTTGTTTTTCCTTTGGGAATAATTTTTATGATGATTCTCTTCATGCTAATAACAATCATAATAGAAACTGTAGTTTCTTTTCTGATTGAATTGATTAAACCAAGTTCTCAAAACATAAGCAGAGGTATAAAGTTTGTTGATTTAGAATACCAAAGGAATCATTCTGATTTGTTTAAATATCCTTTATTCGTACAATATAATAGTTGAGATTAGTTGGTTCAATGTACATGCATTCCAACGTTGATGTTATTATTATTATTATTAGTGGCTTTATTCAATATTATATTTTTGGTACAATATAGAATTATCAGCACAAATTATTTCAACAAGTTTCCTTTTCTTATATCTTGATCAGTTCCTTGCGATAAATATTGAGTGGTCGTTAGTTAGATGTTAGCGGTTCAAGAATCGACATCTGATAAATGTATATCCTTTTTGATGCGTATTGCCAGTAACCATGATGTCTCTGATTGTACTCTTTTAAAACATGTACAGCGAAATGCCGTAAACTTTCACAATCGCAACTGAATAGGTTATGAGACTAATAGGCATAATGATGTGTTAAAACAAACAAGAAAACAGATAACTTGTTGAAATATCCAGATGGCAGGAACAGGTATCCCAGATATTCAAGCAGGCCGCCTTGTGTTCACACACAGACGTAAAGCTAGTGTCTGTTATTTTAAACATTCAAAAGTCAAACGACTATCTACTACTAAATGTGAATAATATTTTATCTAGTTTCATGTTGATCTTCAATTTTCAAATTAAAAGTTGAGTTTTGATTACTTTTTTCTGGGTGATTGATTTGGAAATCTTTTCTAAAGAACTAAGAGCGGTGATATTTCAGTGCATACATTTAAACTCATTTGAATGTTAGTAAATATTCCACCAACCTTCTAACAATTATTTTATTATTATCAGAAGGGGTTTTGTGGAGATTGTAGTAATTTCAATGATTAAGATCATGAGTCAGTTGAAGCTAGACCACCATGGAAAACCTGGAAGCACTGGACGGCCGTTTCGTCCTATTATGGGACTCCTCAGCAGTGCGTATCCACGACCTCGCCCCCTGCGAGATTCGAACCCAGGACCTACTGGCTTCGCGCGCGAGCACTTAACCACTAGACCGGCTCAGTGGTCTAGGTCGTGGATGCGCATTGCTGAGGAGTCCCATACTAGGACGAAACGGCCGTCCAGTGCTTCCAGGTTTTCTATGGTGGTCTAGCTTCAACTGACTCATGATCTTAATCATTGAAATTATTTTATTATTTGATCATTAAACTGAATTTAAAGGACTTATCTTACATTTTTTAGTGGTTGAAAGTACTCTCTGAGAAACTGGATTTCTCAATGATAACGTCTTAAATAATAAAGCTAGCTGATAGGAGGGGGTTAAATTCTACATGGAACATTAGTTCCTTCATAGAGTTTCCTACTTACTACCTTTAACCACATACATTTAAGCACTCAATCTAGTGACTATATTATAATTTGATCGGTAAAATGAAATCCGCACTAAAAGGCAAAGCAAATATGAGATTGATCGTTGTAGTTCAATAAAAAAGTGGGTCATTAATCAATTGAGTAAAATTCCCTTTATTACCATTTACACACTCATCTGCCCCTGTTTTTTCTCTGCCTACGTGTAAATGTTTAATTTCTATCGGAATGGTACAATATAGGTACACTTGAAATAAATACTTTTATTGAAAAACGAAAAACGGGCCTTTTCATCTTTTAGTATCAGAAGGGGTTTTTGTGGATATTATAGTAATTTCAATAGTTGAGATCACGAGTCAATTGGAAATAGACCACCATGAAAAAATGTGGAAGCACTGGACGACCATTTCATCCTATTGTGGGACTCCGCAGCAGTGCACCTCCACAATCCAGCTTGCAGGATTCAAGCTCAGGATCTATCGGCCTCGCGCGCGAAGGCCTAACCTCTAGACCACTGAGCAAGTATCCAATAGTGTTAATGTCGAAATGGCCATCCAGTGCTTCCAGGTTTTCCGTGGTGGTCTAGCTCCAGTTGACTCATGATCTTTCCATCTTTTGTTATTAAGTTCAAATTAAAGTAACAAAATTTGAGATAACAATCAGTAGTATGGCATGTTAAATGATAATTAATAAGTGATTAAGGAATATACAACAATTTCCAACAAGAATTTCATTGTTTACTTGCTATAACTATCACACAATAAATATTAGATAAATTTATAATCTTTTATGCTTCAATTGTATATCCACTAATCGGTTCGCTTGTGAGATTCATGAATATATATATAGGAAACTAGGGAGTGCTAAACAAAAATCCTACTCTAGTATGGAATTTTTCACCAGTTAACACTATGAAACTTCAAGTCCCGTAGTAAATGATTAACAGTTTGAAACAGTTGATTGACTTTTAGTAATACAGATCCTAATTCAACAGATTTACGATGTAGCATAATGAAAACCAAAAGACCTTAGTGACAACTTTTCAGTATCGATATATCTGATATCCAACAGTCAAGACTCCTTACTAGCATTTCAGGGACATTTTCAATTGATTCGCTTGCAAGTTGAAGGGATTTTGTGAACATGGATTTAATCTTTTGGCTGTATTACTCACTGATTAGGTTATATCCATGTGAGCGGGATAGGTATGCACCAATGAGAAATCTTATACTGGAACGAAACAGCATCTAGCATTCTTCGGGTTTGTAATGGTACCTTAACTGAGATCAATATATGGTGAATACAACCTACAGATTAAACCAATCTTCACAAAACCCTTTCAGATAAATTTGAGAATAATTTTATTGTAAAGAGGAGTGATTAAGTTTAAAAAACCGACCGAAAATTAGGAGCTACAAGTAAACTACACTGTTTTAGTTTTACAATTAATTGGTTAGCACAATGGTTCTTGAGTTGATGTCAATCAATCGTGTAAACTATTTTCGAATTTAACTTACTTTGACCATTGTATAATTGGACTTGAAGAATCCATAACATTTTCTTTACTTATCATTGACTCATGAATAGTTGTAGCCGATGACGTTGATGATGAGGATGAGGATGAAGAGGAGGAAGAGATGGAACCTGATAAAGACAAAGGTGAAGATAATGTTGGAGTTGAATGAAACATATGATTTATAGATTTTGATGTTTCATTTAATTTTACTCTTTGCATCAAATGAATTTGATGTTCATGATTAGGTGATTGTACAGAATTTGTTCTTGTTCTAACAGATGATATTGATGATGGAGTATTAGTTGAGTTTTTTATTGAAGATAAGGTTTCTGTTGTAGAACATAAAGATGATGTTGATTCTATATCATGATCTGTATAGTTATCTGCTAGATAAATTAACGATGTTGATAAATGCTGTTAATTGAAATAAACGAAACAGCATACAAGTTATTCAGAAGAGAACAATAGTTACATAAGGGTGGATAAAAAATATGTAAGTGTGATTAACTTGTTTTATTTTATTATCATTTTAAAACAGTAATCACCAGGACATTATTTCATCATTATGTCGGACCCTTTAACTGTGCACAACAATGATCTTACTGAGGAAAAAAATCGGAAAATTTAGGATTTGTGGCTAATCTATAATCCTAAGACAACTGAGACAAGATCTTATACTTCTCATTTCTAGTTCTGGTTTATTCGTTATACATTGCAATCATCATCTGTCATTATCAGTGGGTTTTTTTTTTCATCTCTGATATGTTTGATTTACATTAATTACAACTTCTGACGAAAACTTGAGGGATCTACTTCAAATGTTATCACATACGAACACGTGATTATTAGTAGCATACAATGTAGTGGTTTACATTACGAACTGACTTTAGCAAGACAGCTGCTAGAAATTAAAAAGATGTTCTTTGATTTCTAATGAGAAGCTATGATCAGAGACAGGTATTACCGATTGGATTCAGAAGTATGGGTCATCGAATTCTGACTTAACAATCTGAAGCTAAATCACTCTATTCAGGGTTTAAAGATTTTGATTTCGAAGCCTGTTAAGATTGAGCACTATTGAGAAGTCCCTTACCAGAACGAAACAATCATTTAATGCCTTTTAGTTTCAAATGTTTGACTAGCTATAACCAATACGTGATGTAAGCCTCGAAATAAACACTATTTACAAATCATAGTAGTGTAATATATTAAACAGTTTGTTCTGTTCTACTTGACGGCTGAGAAACTTGACCATTAATAGTAGAAGATATTCGCAAGTTTCTAGTTTTTGATCCCAGATGTCTTAGTAATATTGCTCGCATCTGCTGGGATCACCGGTTAAGTAATAGTGAGGTTAGACACAAGGCATTAGGGATTGATGAGGTTGTAAATCTTCATCGACTGAGATGGTTGTACCACAAGTTACATGTGCCTGAACACCAATCACCACGACGCGCAATGCTGATTAGTGTTGGGGATAGTTGGAAGAAAGTTAGGGGCGGCCAAACCAAAACGTGGCATCAGTCCCTGAAGTCACTAACGTCTAGTCTTAGCCATGTTGGTAGATGCAGACTATTTGGTTGGAGTCCGCGTGACTATCGAAACCAATGGATGGAGACTTTGGGTGACATAGCTCAGAATCGATCACAATGGCGTCGGTGTATACACTCTTTGTCTTCTCTCAAACCGCGAGACTAGAACCACTCTATACCTTTCTTTCTACCAACTAATTCCTTATACACAATCCTTCTTTCATATATTACAACCATTGAAGTAACTACCTCTACGAATTTGGTGTTCATCTTGTTGTGCTAATGAGGTGTGGCAACTTGGACCGATGCATATATATGCCTGGTCCTACGTTATAGCTAACTGACTGATTGAATATATTAAATTAATTAACTACCAGGTGATAACCAGTAAATTAATTCATAACTTTATATTCCCATCAGCCTACTGATTATAGAATTTATAATGATTTAAAATTTCAAGTAATTTATTATGGTAATGATAAAGTGTGAAGATGATTATGATGCGACTATAATTTATGGACGACCTTTGAGCGAAGCTAGACTGACCTTGAGATTGATTACCTAATAACTAGAACCAAATGAGTGTTATAAAGTTGTGTGAGGAATTCGAATTGTAATTTACAGTTGATGGTTAAGGTTAGGAATTATACTTAGGATTTTCATCACCAACTAACATCGACTATCATGCCAAAACTCTATTTAGCCAAATGGATGAGTGAATTTCGTGCCAAAATTCGAGACCTATTATCTTAAACGTGATTGGTTCGTTCCTAAATTATAGTCTCGACATGGTTATTATTTAGCAATTGATTCAGCCATATAATAAAACTGTTTCAATGATAATTGGTTTAATCATTAAACTAATGATACTATTTATAACTATCGAGTTTAATCAAATGAACTTTTATTAATAAGAATAAATGAGGTTAGTTTTCATTACAAACTGAAATAAACAGTTGAATTACTGAGTACCAGGTCATATTGAAGAGTTGATTTGTGTTTATGAGCTCCTCTGGATAATTATACACGTACTACTACTAAATATTGGATCACATTCAATCTCTCCAGATTGTGTATTGAGCTCTATAACTTTAGACTACTTGACCGGAACTCAATAGTTCAAATGCTTCTTTTCCTTAGACTTGCGTTATCGTTCAACTATTATCGAATGGGATTTATAGTATCCATTAAATCATACCATGAATAAATTTCATTAGTTATGGTCTCTTAAATACAATTTTAAGAGTTAATTTCGACGAGTACGTACACTTTTCAATGTAGTCGTTTCTAATTTTCATTTGTTTTTTCCTATTAGATAATTCTTCTCTCTAATGAGTATACTTATTCCCCTCTATCATCCATTATTTGACTTTGGATTTCGTTGTGGTAAATATTAACTCGATGTATACCATTTGATAAACTCAACTAATAATAATAAACAAAGGTGGATAGTGGTTAGTAGTGGGCATTTCGTTTTATTTGGGACTCGTCAGCTGGATTTACTTGCATCCCAGAGTTGATATTCACCCCGGGACTCGAGGCAATCCGAACAGGATGCACATATGCCAACAAGTGACTGATCAATTGCAGTTCTAAAATATCAATGACAAGATTCAAGTAAACAATACCAAGTGAATTTAATAATAATAATAATAATAATAATTTCACTAACCTGTAAGTTATATGATGATCCAGTCCATGAATTATCATCTGTTGTTTTATTTTCAACCATAGAAGTTAACTCACTTGATGGTAATCTACAAGTTGATTTTGAAAGTGGTATCTGATGACGATCTCTATTATGTTCATAAAGAGAAGATGACTTATTAAATTTTGAATAGGATGTAGTTTGTGGACAAATTGATTGATTGACATTGTTACTTGTCTTAATTCCATGTTCATTATACTAGTAAATGAGTTTTTTATATAAAAAAGTAAAGAAATATTCATTAATCAGTGGTTATTATAATATATTATCATTATTATCTAGATACTGACGGATAGCAAAGATCAGTACGAATGTTTCTTCTTATTTTGAACCTATCAGTATATTACATATGTGTCAACCGACCGTACGAGCTTACAAAAGATACTTGCAATTAAAGTAAGTTTATTATGAACGAGAACATAAGTCGGAGCAGCTAAATATACTTTCATTGGAAATTACAGAATCCCTTGATAACATATGAGAACTATACATTAAATAATTTATTTGCAAATTACCATCATTTGTCCTTTACATTGTGTATGCTTCTTCTGATTCACAATTCTTTCGTAATTTCATTTCTGTCTTCTTCAAGTCGACCTTCATAGCCTACTGTTGTCGGGTTTTCAACTACCTGTTGGTGTTACATACTACTTATGTCTGTTGACATTGAGTAGTATACACCACAAGTTAATTAACCTTAATTTACATGAACAATATTTACTTATGACAATTTTGGTTGGTAAATTTTTCTCTAAACTTTTCACTGACACTAGAACACACTCAATTATGTCTACTTATAATTGATTAGATTGATAATGTATGTATCTATTACATTAATATACATTTCAGTTTCCAATAAGGTTATTATGAGCAGGTAATCTTAACAAGTGGCAAACTTAGGAGTACAGGATGAATTTGATTGAAATAACTATATAGTTCTAGGCTTTTGGAAGTAATTGGTACTTATCAACAAGACATGCTTACAGTCTTGAGGGAACTGAGGCTACATGTTGAGTTCGAACGAATATCGTTCATCTTTATAGTCTTAGACTTTGTAGCTGAGCTATTCGAGCCATTATTATATAATACCTTAGTTGTATTTCGTTGAAATTGATTTTTAGGTAAAATATTTATCAAGGTTTCAGATAAATATATGACCAGATACTCTGTAAAAAGTATATAAGCACTGGTTTTATTCTATCTTTTATACTAAACGAAATTTTGGCAAATAATTTATGGTAGGGGTTTGTGAATATTGTTAGAGTATGACGGAGAATTGAACCCAAAATGAAATCAACTACAGTTAGCATTGATAACTCATTAAGGATTAGACAGCTAGTACGTCACATTTTTGGGACTCCTCAATAGTGCCCACCAACAATCTTAATACTGAAAAATTTAAAACTAGGAAAAACAATCTTAAAGTTAAATAGAGGCTAATGATAGAATTCAGAACGTAAATTTTAACCTATTTGGGACTCGTCAGCTGAATGTACCTACCACATCTGTGTTAATATTCATTTTGCGACTCGAATCCACGACTTCTCCCTTTAAACGTTAATAGCGTTTCTCACTGAACTGTCAAGTGTGAATAGCTACTAGCTTATGGAACGAGGGTAAATTTTATTTTCACATTTGTAAAGGAAATGTCAAACCATTACATATGAGAATAGAAAAACCATCTTTCAGTTTTCCATGAATTCTTGTCATGCTTAAAACTTCATTTTAATTTTAAGAATATAAAATTTTCGGTATACGGTTATGGATGTGCACTGCTGAGGAGTCCCACAATAGGATGAAACGGCCATCCAGTGCTTCCAGGTTTTCAATGATGGTCTAACATCAATCGTTTCATGATCTCAATCAAAAACTTAGGAACCTCCACAACCTCTATACTGATAATTAACCATGTGCTTACAAGTGACTAGCTTCGTGAGGAAATTCTCGGAGTTCTAGTGAGAAGCAGTGACCAGTGAAGCTAATCCGTGTCAGGTATAGACCTCAGTACAATCGAAGATGGTCGCACAATTTCGTGGATTGGTTAAGGTTAGACATTAACACCATTGAATGCCAGCCATCTCAGTGGTCTAGAGGTTAAGCGTTCGCGTGTGAGACTGAAGGCCTCAGGTTTGAATCCTACGAGCGGGATCGTGGATATGCACTGTTGAGGCATCCCACAATAGGACGAAACGGTTGTTCAATGCTTCCAGGTTTTCAATGATGGTCTAACATCAATCGTTTCATGATCTCAATCAAAAACTTAATATTCTCCACAACCCTATACTAAAAAACTTTATAAAAAATTTGATTCATTACCTCAGTTATTTCATTTGTATTAACTGATTTCAATAAACAATTATCATTATTTGAATCTAATATATTTGTTTGTGATACATGATAAGAAGGATTTAAATTGGATACAAAATTTGTATTTAAACATGTAGAGATTAATTGTTTATCATGATGTTTCATTATTGATGAATTCATTTCAGGTAGAACATTAACATTATAATTAATTTCATCATTTATATGCCTTAAAAATGGTGCTATATTTCGTGTTATAGTTTGAAATGAATCATTTGGCATTTTTATTACATCATATATTTCTTGTCGTTGTCTAGTTTCATTCATATGTTTCTCTTCTATTGACCAATCACAACGTAACCTCTTCAATGGATGATGATGATGATGATAATTATGATGATTATGATTATGGTTAATAGATTCGGTGTAAATATTTGACTGTTTTAACTTTTTATTACTTAACATTAAACCTGATCTATGATTATTTAAATGTTCATTAATATTATTAACATTATTATTACTATTATTACTATTATTATTATTATCATTGTTATCACCTTCTTCATTATCATCTTCAACAATATCTTCAAATCCATGTTGATTTCGATGAAGATTCAGTTGTGACTGACGATGTGAATGTGATTGTTGTTGTTGTTGATGATGATGACGACGACAGTTTATTGAATTTTGTAATTCATCATTATTTGAATTTGTTGGAGAGTTATTATGATTTATATTATCTAAACAATTCATATCACTTTGTACACTTTCTAGACCACCACTACTATTACTACTACTATTACTAGTGACCGTACCACTTTCAGGACTGCTTTGACTCATACCAATAATATCATCATTTATAATCGATGTTGAATTAGAATTGGAATGAATTAAATGTGCTGTTGTCGTTGTTGTTGCCATTGTTGTGGTTGTTGATGTACCAGTTGTAGTACAACAACAATAACCGCTTGATAATGCATTATCAACATCTTTTCTATCAAATGTATAAAAAGCTTTATGTAAACTAATTCTAGAATCATGTAAAGCTGACAAGCTGTCACGATGTTCATTTAACTCTAAATTTGATAGAATTGATGGCGCTGCTGCTGACGTTGTCGTTGACGTTGTTATTCCATATGGATAAAAATTAATACCATTTTGACCAGTTAATGCTAAAAAACTATTCATTGATCCCATTTGTACTGAGGATACATTAGGACATAATGAAATATGACTAGTATTATTGTTATTATTAACATTATTTGAAGATGATGTACATCGATTTTCTAAATTTTGATTATTGTCTGTTAGATGTTGGGAATGCTGTTGATGACGTTCTTCTTCTTCTTCTGCCCTCTCTTCTACTTCTTCTTGATTAGTACAAAATATGGAGGATGATAATGATGATGTTGGTTGTAGTGACTGAGAAGCTAGTTGTAAATGTGGTGATCGAAATCCAATACCACCACGATTAGGCATTGTATATAATGCTTCGGCTAAATCTGCAGCACGCTTCAAGATGATTTCACGTGGTAAACGTTCTGGATCACCTGGATGACGTGGAATAATTTTACATAATCTTTGGAAACCATATTCAATTGTAGGATCTGTCATTGCTAGATGAAGAAAAGTCAGTATAGTTTTATATGAATAATTCCTTTTTCTTAATATGGATAAGAAAATGAAAAATCATTTTACATGGATTGTAACAATATACACTTATTAAGAGTTTAAATCATTCCAGTGTCGATACTCAGAACTTAATATTTGATCAGTCTTTGTTGATATATGGACATCCAGTGCAAATTGTGTTGATATATATTATTATTAATCCAGAATTTAGTCTTGAATATCAACACTAGAATTGTTTAAACCCTTAAGCACCGAACACTTCAGAAATATTAGTAATTGATTTAATTCAATAGCTCAATTGAAAACGTTTTGAAAGTTCGAAGCAACAGGTACTACATTCTAGTTTCAATGTAAACATTAATAGCGAAATGTGATAGGTACATTCAGTTGACGAGTTCCACACAGAACGAAACACGATCCGTGAAACCTACTGTTAGCGATAATTCATTTATTTCATAAAACATTACATTATGCATAAAAGGAAAATTATTTAAATTCATTTTGTAACGTTTCTTTGAATCTTCCCATTCATGTTCAGAACTGTAATTAATCAGTCTTTTATTGACATATGTACATCCTGTACATATTACCTCGATATTGTATTAAATTGCAAGCATTATAAGCTTGGATGGATGGTGGATAGTAGTGGAATCCATCACAGGCGTTTCATCCTATTTTTAACTCAACAGCTGAATGTGCATGTATCTCAGAGTTGATATTCACTCTGGTAATCGGATCCAGTAGTATTCATTTCAGAAACCATCACGTTATCCATTTAGCTGACGAGTTCCGAATTGGGCGAAACGCACGTCCTGGATTCCACTGCTATCCACCATCCATCTTTGCATCTCAAGTGTATTTAATCAATATTAGTTAACCGGTTGGTTTAGGAAAGAGTAATTGAACTGGAGGCAGTCCCCACTGGATGCACATATTCCATCAAGAGACCGATCGATTGTAGTCCCATAACATCAATGGGAAGATTCAAACAAACAATACAAAATAAATTTAAATTTCACCCCATCGCACAAACTAGTGACTACCAGGACTCAATAGCTAAGTGGGTAACATGATGGCATTTAAAACCAATATTATTGGATTTGAGTCTCGAAGTGAATATCAACTCTAAGATTCCACTACTAGCTACCATCTATGCTCGTAAAACGAATTATGTGGTCAAAACTCATCATACATATTATTATCTATCTAATTAACTAGTCAACAATCTCTTAACAAGTCAATTTGATTTTGTAACTACAATGTTATTTAATAGAAATATAAGTTTATATGAATGTAAATGAAATTATTATTTAGTTTATGAATATAGTAAACGAACTTAGAAACAAGTGAGTAAACTTAAAAATATCAAATTACATAATACCCCTTATTAACTACTAGAACGGAATGATAAAAAGTATGATCATAAAAATAGATAAAATATATATACTTACCAATATAAGCAAATCTACCTGGATTATTTTTACAGAATGTTTTATTTTTAAATGCTAATGTCACTTCAACTACACCAGATAAATGTCTTGGTGGAGTACTAACACGTAGAGCATGTGGTGTAATTAGCTGATTATAAGAGATAAGGAAAGAATAAACAAATAGAAAAAAATAACTTATAAATGTTTAAATGTTTTTTTTTTAAAAAAAATTGAAGTTTCAATTCATTTAATGTTGTTTTATTTGTATCTTCCTATTGTTATTTAAGACTTCGACTGATTACTTTCAGCAGTTAACTGGAGAATGTAATAGCGTTTGAAACGAATGGTACTGGTAATTTCAATGGTTAAGATCATGAGTCAGTTGAAGCTAGAACATCATGAGAAAGCTGGAGGCACTGGATGGCCGTTTCGTCCTATTGTGGGACTCCTCAGCAGTGCGCATCCACGACCTCGCCTCTTGGGAGATTCGAACCCAGGACCTACTGGTTTCGCGCGAGAGCACTTAAACACTAGACCACTGAGTCGGCATCCGACGGTGTTAATGTCTAACTTCAACTAATCCACGAAATTGAGCGACACACCCACCATTGTCTTCAGTGGGTTACTATCTCACAACAGACCTGGTTGAACTCCACTAGTCACTACTTTCACTAGAACTCCAGGATATACCACTTGAAGCTAGTCACTAGTGAGCATATGTTGATCATTATCATAAGGGATTTTCTGGATATATAAACAGTAATCACTCTATATTGTTCTCATTACTGCTGACCGAATATTCAAATGAACATATCCGCTCTAAAAATAGTTGGTGAAATATCATTGTAGGCTGTACTCATCACAGATTGATTTCCGTTAATGTATCACCAAAAACCAGGGAGCAAATTATATCCTTTTCTTCTTAATGTTGGATTCATCAGTATTTGACTCATGATCTTAACCATTGAAATTACTACAATCTCTGTAAAACCCCTTCTAAGAATAGTACTGGGTTTGACTCGTAGAGTGAATATAAACTCTGAGATGTAGGTACATCTAGCTGACGAGTCTCAAATAGGACGAAACGCTCGTGTTGTATCCCACTACTAGACACTATCCATATTTACTTAAAAATCAAATTTCATTAAGGTTTTTCTCAAATTTATAACAAGAGAATTTAATAAATCAAGTGTTTATTTAATTATGTAAAGTGGATATTCTAGTGACTTAATGATAAGTTTTGCTAATTGAACACTCAATCCAATTTTTTAGTCACTTCTAATAAGACTATAATAAATCTACTCGTCAACTTGAACACAATAGAATAGTTACAAAGTTCGAAAAATGAGCTTCACTCAAAGGTTAGAGTATCTGGAGGAAATCATGGGTATTCATACTATTTAACAAAGCCTTGATCTTCTAGGAAGTTTTAGAAGCAAATTAAATATTGATAACAAGACGTTAAATATCTACCCAAAAATGTGATAGGTGATCCGTGAATGTTCTTGATGTTCAGAGAAAAACTATAATTCAACCCTGATTAGATAAAAATTATCCTGGGTCCCGAGTGAATTTTCTAGATAGTACTTTGGAACTCTTCAACACTTAACAATTGAAAACGTAAGTTTTTTATTTATAATTTTATTTGTTCAATTTTTTCTCGGTTTTGTGTTTTCATTTCACTGCTGTTAGGTTACAGTTGTATAAATCTCAAAAGTTCCTTTCTATATACATGCTTCAAGTTATTTCCATACATCTTAGTGAACAATACAAATAGAGTATTAGTATTAGTATTAGTATTAGTAGTAGTAGTAGTAGTAGTAGTAGTAGTAGTAGTAGTAATAGTGGTAGTAGTGTAGTGTATAATACTAATGTCGACAGACATAAACAGTATGTAACACTAGTCGGATGTAGAAACTTTGGCAACAGAAGTCTGAGAAAATCAAGTTGAAGAGTATAGAAAGGAATTTCAAATATAGAGAATCATACAGAATGTGAAGGATAATGATGGAAGTTTGCATATAAAGCGTCTTATGTATGGTTCTCGTATTTTACCAAGATATTCTGTAACTTTGTATATAAAACATTAGTTGTCCCCACCTGTGTTCTCGTTCATTACAGTAGTAGTGTTAGTAGTAGTAGTAGTAGTAGTAGTAGTAGTGGTAGTAGTGAGAGTAGATATTGTTTCGTAATTGATCTTACAATTGGATATTGTAAATTTCACTTAATTATTAACTAACGTAAACAAACTGAAATATCCAAATTCATGACCTATTATCTAAAAAGGTTATACTTAGATATATAAACAGTAATCACTCTATATTGTTCTCATTACTGCTGACCGAATATTCAAATGAACATATCCGCTCTAAAAATGGTTGACAAAATATCATTGTAGGCTGTACTCATCACAGATTGATCTCCGTTAACGTATCACCAAAAACCAGGGAACAAACTATATCTTTTTCTTCTTAATGTTGGATTCATCAGTATTTGAAGCTTGCGAAACACCCTCTAATGATTGAACACACGCCATTAGTTTAATTATTAATATAATTGTAATTTTTAAATAAATTCGTATCAGCTACTTGTTAAGACACAAAATTTACACCTTAGAACAATTTGCAAAACATTTGTGTATTAGTAATTGTTTCTATGACCATATAGTTAACGGGGTAGGAGAATAATTTTATTCGACATATCATCCATAGATTTTAGATATTGAGAGCAAGAGAATAAAGACATTATTTGTACTCTTGCTTACTATATCAACATAAGCTTAGTAATAAGACGAAGGTATATTTCTACAATGTAGAACTTGAGTGTATTTGCTAGATAAAGATAATAATCGAAACTATCGAATTATTGCGTCCTTTCTAAATGAATTTAGTGACAATTGCTACTTTACAACTTGAACTTGTATTTAGAATCTATTCAGTGTCTTAGATATTCATTTAAGTAGTATCAAGAGCAACTTCATAATAGATTAAATAATTTAGTAAACAAATATCATCACTTACTTCACCCCATACAGCAGTTGATCCAAAAACAATTTGTAGACCGGGGAAAAAATTCTCACCAATCACAGTAATCGTTTCACCACCTGTAACCCATCCTTCATTTGGACTAAGTGCTTTAATCACTGGACTTATAGTTGAGTAAACTGGAAAACAGAAATTAAACAGAACAATAAAAATGATTTCTAGTTTCGAAACTTCTTTTTTAAAAAAATAGTGAATATAATGTTTTTAATTTTGCTTACAATGATAAATTAGTAACGGCTAAAGTCTAATTTGTTGGAAATGACCTAAGATATAGAATTTAATTAGGGGTTGATTTTCGCATCATAACGTTAAGATTATTTTTTTTTGTAGAATAGATGAAATATGGCTAACTGTGTAACCTACGGGATGTGAATTTCGTCTTATTCGGGACTCATCACCCGGATGTGCGTAACACATCTTAGAGTTGATGTTTACTCTGAGGTTCGAATCCAGTTCCTTCCGCTTCAAACATCAACCCCTTATTCACTGAGCTATGGAGTTCAATTAACCACTCATTAGTGCAAAAATGTGTTAATTTCAATTTAATTTTTTACTGGTTTGTATTATCCTATGGTTTATGATGTGACTTCATTTTGGTCCGTTCAAGTTGATATCTGTGCAACCTGTACGGATTGTTTCGATACATCCAATATGTAACTAGTTTCTGCTGGCCAAATTGAATCTATTTTAAATAAATTTGTAATATAATCTTTATACTGATACAATCCACACAAGTTGTACATATACCAACTAAGACTGACCAAAATTCAGTCAAATATAACCAACGGATCATTCAAAAGCATTACAAATTAAATCTATTTAATCAGTGTTCTATAGAAAATTATACTGTTCAACGGTACATTTCTACCTAATTAATTTAGAATAAGCTTAGAAGGAGTAGAAAGTTGTTTAGTGTGATAAAAGAGTATCGGTCAGATATTTCTTGATTTGTATCCCATAACTTAAACAATAAATTATAAACTAAACACTGCTTATTAATCAACCCTCGCGAACGGAATCGTGGATCTTGCACCCTGTTGAGGGGTCTCATACTAGAACGAAACGGTCGTCTAGTGCTTCCGGGTTTTCGATGATGGTTCAACATCAATCGATTCATGATCTCAATTAAAAACTTAACAATCTCCACAACGATGAATTTTTTTGTGTGTGAATAAAATCTACACTTTGAGATAATACACATTAATGATTTATACACAATTTATGTATTAAGTTGTACAAGTTTAGTTTAGTGAAAATGAGTAAATGGTCCTTGTATTGAAGAATAGTAGAATATTTTTTTAAAGTGTTCGATTCTAGTGGTTCATATCAAGAAATAATCCGAATTAGACAACAATTGAAAGTCAGGAAGTAATGGACATATGTTTTTTCTCATTATGGAACTTCCTAACAGTGGGAATAAAGTGATCACAACGCGGCTTGAAACTAGGATTCCCAGGTCTCGCATAGATCATCCGACCTTTAGACTAGTGCATGAGGCAGTTATTGACCAATGGCGATGATAGGTGGTTGTACAATATCTAGAACTGATTGTTGTTAAATCCTGGCCCGATAATTTAAAGATTAAATACCTTCACCAAGACCTGATATTCCTGGTTTCGAGCCCCGTTTTGGTTGTTAATGTTCACTGTTAAAAAACCTTATACTGAGACAAAACATATGTCTATTTCTTTTAAATGTTCAGCGGTTGTCTAATCAAGATGTGTTCATGACGTGAACTGTAAAATATCAACATTACAGGTTGACAACTCAACCTTTGTGGAGCTATTGTAGCAAACGAGAATACAAATGGGGACAATCGAATGTACCCCAACACAAAATTACAGAATCTCTTAGCAAAATCTGAGAACCAAACAGTAAATTCTTCATTTGCTAAAATGTCAATCAATTGTCTCAAACTTGACTATTCCTACTTCAAAATATAAATCAATCGTTTCAGACTTGATTGTTCCTACATTTCTACACCAATCATTTTCTGTTCTCGTTCTCTTCCCTTCGTCTTTCTTAACCTTCTGCCACTAGGCATTTCACTTTTAAATAAAGTAAGAACAAATATTGATTAATGATACATAATACTTATATTTATCGATATCAGTAGCACACACCACAATATGATCTTACAATGATAGAATTCAAATAAGTAGTCAGCAACTATATATTTATATATACAATGAAAATTCTATTCAAATATAGACTACATAAGTTCTTTAGATTTTAAGACATTAAAATGAATAAACATATGTATGAGTATCTCAGATACTTTAAATAAGTTTACTTCTTAATTTCCAAACATATCAAAATCAATACATAACTGTGAAGTCTGAGTTTTGCTTTACACTGTTGTACTTAGAATCACCTACCTAATGATGTAATTATATATAAATATATACTCATTTATATGTAGCATTGTGTTTTGGTTGATTGCTTCTTTCCCTTCTTCCCACCTACATCGTCTTTCTATCTTCTTTTTTTTCCTCTCTTTTTCTTTGAATGAAATAATAAACCGTCAAAATGTAGATCGAATTACTTTGTTACAGTTCAACAAGACCAACACCAATTATCAATAAATAAATATATTTACGACTCATTTAACACCATCTAATTACAAACCCTTAAGGCATTATTCCTAAACACCAATGACATATGAGCATAATAACATGTCGAATATCACTCTCATATAATCTTCTAAGTCAGTGTTCATTTATTCAGCTTATTTATACATATACATCAATGAAAGGGGAATGAGGGGGTGGATAAGTGGTTGATTGGTTGTAGTGATTACGAAATTCATAAAAATCCTAAGGGAATTAACAGACTATTTAATTTTCAGCTCAATATTATTGTAAATTAACTATGCCAATGATAGAAAAATAAAACTATGAAAAAGTTATGTTGTATGTGTATGTGTGTGTGTGTATTTATATATATAACGAAATGAAACGGAACAGTCCTAATAGTAAATAGTTTCTAATTTATTTCTATCCTTCCCCCATCTCCCTTAGTTCATTCTCCTTAATTTATTGTTACAATGGAAATAAATTATTTTTTAATTAATACATTAACATAGAAATCAGTCATTTTGTTTCTTTTGCTTTAACAGAGAACGATCTACCAATGCTCTACTAATCATATTGCGTCATTGTTTAGAAGCTGTATAGAACAATACACTATTGTATGTGTCAGAGAGACATGATCCATTGTTGAGACAGCTCAACCCTATCATATATTTTATCAAATTATTATAAAACAAGAAATTATTTCCATTCTTTAGAGGCTTCTATTACATATATATGCTTGACAATTGTTCACCTAAAACTACTATGTATAGCTTTGGTTATGATTTTCTAGGTCCTATTTCATAGGGTCAATCGGTCGTAAATATTTTAGTCCTACAAGAAGTCAGTCACTGTTTGAAAAGCAATATAGTAACGTTTCAGATTGTGAAACTTAGCGACAATGTATCGAGTCCACCTTAGAGCACTAATTCTCCTATGATTACAGGTGCACCTTATCAACGAGTTTCAAATGGTATGAAACCTTGGTCAATCAAGGTTTCTCGTCTGCTATGTCTGAAAGGTTAATTGATTTCTTTTTGCATTTCGCTTGTCAGAATTCGGATGATAATTTCCCTACCACTTACGCTTATTCTCTTTGGACTACAACTCAGCGTCCCTAGCCTTAAACAATGATATGTTCCGATCAACAGATTTATTCTTGAGCTAATGTAAGATTAACATCAATCGTTTTGCCGATACGCACGTTTTCTTTTGTCTCCAGACTTAAGTTTGGAAGGAGAAGGCAGAAATCTAGATTCTATTCTTATTTTTTCAATTATGAATGGATATAACGAACTAGATAACACTGTAAAATGGAAAATCATGCACAAATATACTGAAGTGGCTGTGAACCGGGAAGTTTGTAAATAACTGGACAGTGATAAGTTAAGAATAATAAAATGTACAGTAACAGTGTATGGCTCAAACGGAATCTTACAATCAATGGAATATGGACCCATAGTAGTTCACTAATTTAGTAATTACACAGTCGGAATATACATAATAAAATCACAAAAGTAATTTTGAGAGTTATTATATCTTCAGTCTTTGTTCTGTTGAACCATTGAAGAATTCCTCTAAACATATAAAGTGTAAATTCAATTTGTATTGTTTGTTTGGATCTTCCCATTGATACGTCAGAACTGCAATTAATCAGTCTCTAATTGACATATGTGCATCCTGTACAGATTGCCTCGATATTGTCTTAAGTCACAAGTATTATAAGCTCGGATGGATGGTGGATAGTAGTGGAATCCATCACAGGCGTTTCATCGTATTTTGAACTCATCAGCTGGATGTGCATGTATCTCAGAGTTGATATTCACTCTGAGACTCGGATCCAGTAGTATCCATTTCAGATATCATCGCGTTATCCATTTAGCTGACGAGTTCCGAATTGGGCGAAACGCACGTCCTGGATTCCACTGCTATCCACCATCCGTCTTTGCATCTCAAGTGTATTTAATCAATATTAGTTAACCGAATGGTTTAAGGAAGCATAGCTAGACTGTGAGTTCATTTTTTTATACAAATTAATATCAACTGAGGAGGGTCAGTAAAATCCAAATAGTAATTCATAACTATTTTGTCCTGCTATTCAATTTTTATCTTTGAACGCACAGCTGTATCACAGATTACAAATTAAGACATTCAGTTAACACAATGAATGCCTAACATTTAGAGTATAGAGTTGGAATCTAATGTATTTTTACTTCAAGCTTCAATACCATAGGTGAACCACCACTTCATTCTAGATATATTTGAATCCAATCGATGATGATTTCATGCTCCAACCTTGAGAATTTCTCTCAACACACTATTATTAGCGAGCATGTGAACAATACCTGGTAGAGTAGGTCTTCATTAAAGTAATATTAATCCATGGTGGGAAGCGACTTCAACTATCTCTCAAATTAATAATCATATTTTATCAACTGAACTCTACACATTTTATTCTTATCAATGTTTACTCATTACTCATCATTTGTATCTGGCCCTTTGAACTGTTGTCATAATCAATGTTGTAGAATGTTCTTTCACTCAAG